CTTCATCAACAATAAATGCTGTCACTGCCGTGGTCAATAAGACCAGAGAGGTCATAAATTTGACAAACATAATTCACTACAATTCCTGGTCACTTCATTTGCATGGATAAACAAGCCATAGGGTTACCACCAATCAAAGCACCAGCCGCGCGTATCCCATTCACGGCGACACAAAGCACGAGTAGTACACCCACCACGTCCCACTGCTGCACACACACTGAATCCGAGAGTTGCCCGCTACCCGCCAGGTGCGCCGGGGGCTGGAGACATCTGCTGGCCAACCCAGTAACTTCTACCTCGTGGGTACTCTCTTGTGGACCCCAGGAGACTATGGTACAGATACATCCGCAGACCAACAGGGGAGGATTATGCTAACACGTGTCAGTGACCAGAGTTACTCCCTCGCCTGACCCGCTCCCCTGGGAAGCTGTACTTGCATGTATGGCTTCTTTTAAACTTGTTTATTCTGTACTTGCTCAGTGACTTGTGTCAGTGGAAATGTGTTTGGCCCACAGGCGAAAGGATCCAGGTGTATTCCCCAGGCGAGGCTGAAACCTAAGGGCAACTGTCCTGCACTTATTTTCTTGTTGTGGATCTCATCATAGGAAAGATGATGTAAGGAACTTAACGGCGGCCCCCAATGTTTGTCTCTCTTGGGTAATTAAACATCCGGGATAAGTAATGTGAGGAAACTCTTGTTCTTAGTTTCCAAGTGAAAGTAATCTCCAGTTTCACCTGATTACTTACAGTCTGACTGATCAGACATCGGGCCGCAATTAGCAGATGGCGGATAGAATCTCCTACACTTCTTGTCTTGAATGACTTACACAGTGTCAGCACGCCAACCAACTTTTCACTCCAAGACGTGTGAGTGGTAGTAGAAACTCCAGTGGAAATCAACACGTACGATATGTGTGTGCCAATGACGTACTGAGGCAGCCGAGTGCCCTGAGACCAGCCGGCGGTTTTGAATGCTGGTCGAAAAAAATTTGTGCTAATAACATTTATAAGAACTTTTATTGAGTTTCATATCACTGGATACTGACAACTGTCTTACATAGTAACTTGTAAGTTTCTCAAGATAGCCCAAAGAAAAGTCCAACAGTGACTTATTTCCACTGGGAAGTTGTCTTACAAAACTATTAAGTACAGTAAAATTCAATTGCAATAGAAATATAAGTATATTCATTAAAAATTATCTGTGTGCCCTCAAGACGATTATTAAAAAACCGATGTTATGTATTACTTTATGTAATATCTAAAGTAAATCAAACTTACTGAGCCAATTATTATAAATTAGTTGTGTTGTAGACGAGGTAAATAGGTTCCCCCAGGAGTAATTAATGAAGGGGCTCCTCACCTGGCCCTGTCGACGGCCAGGGTGCATAATGTATCAGCGGAGACAAATGGAAGCATCATACTAAGGAGGTCCATCCCGAGTCTTGCGGATGGAGGACTGAACCTACACTAATGCTTACACTGAATGACCTCACACGGGTTTAACGCTTCACATGATGAAGAATTGGACGCATGTTCATCTTCGTCTTGTCGGTATTGTATACCAATCATGTGCAACGCTTCCCATAAAAAAGCCATCTCCATCGAGCCTCCTTGTGCTAGATGACGGTTATGATCCCCCACGGGTTTAGGAGACTGGGGATCGACCCTCCAACACCGAGGTGGGATGGCATAATAAAGGAAACATTACCCATCATTCATTCAATAGCTGTCTTGCCATATCACAACTCAAATGACCCTTCCGACTTGCAGCATCTCCACAGCATCTTCAGAGTGCAGGGCAGGGGCTGTAATTCCCACCTCTAGGTCCAACAGCACGTCAAGTCATTAAAATCACTTGTCTCTACTCATTTTGATCTAACACGCTCGCACAGGCCTGCTGATGCTCAAGCACACAAAACCCCTTTACCCCTTCCCCTCCAACCCTCAATCATCCTGTTCTGTTACATCCTTTCTAAGTCTAAACCACCTCGATAACCCCTCCTCAGCCTCCAGAATATCACTGTACTTTTTATAACCCAACACAGTCTTCTAGTTTCTGTGCTCCGAATTTTGTACACATTCACAACACACATTACCCTCAGACATGACATCTCCACTGCCTCCAGCCTCCTCCTCGCTGCAACATTTAAAACCCATGCGTCACACCCATATGAAAGTGTTGGTACCACTATACTCTGGTACATTCCCCTTTTGTTTCCTTCTTCGGGTCATACTACCCTGGTGGGAGACGGCCGATTAAAAAAAAAAATGACAGAATATAGCTGAGATAGACATATTTTATTTATTCAACAAAACTGGATACATCGGCAGTGTGCTTCTGCCCTATTCTATATGATAGTTATGCGGTTGGGACAAAAGGTACCCATGTTTTCCTGTCCTATTCCACCACATAGGATGGAATATGGCAGGAAAACATGGGTAGTGCGAGGAGGATATCGCCAAACATTCCAGTAAGAGTTCACCAGCTAGAAGAGAGCTAGATAGTAGAGACTGTTGGAGTGAAAAGATGAAAAGAATGATGGGACGGGAACTGGGAGTGAGAGCGGTAAGGTAGGGAGAGAGGGAAGGAAGAAGGAAAGTGTTGAGGATAGTGGGTGTGGGAGGGACGGTAGAGGGAGGCTGGACAGCTGAATCCACCTAACCTCTCACCCAGGCGGCAGTAGCCTGGACGCCCTCACTGTTTACACTGCTCTCTCGTCACGTTCCTCTCGTCTACATACTTACCAGCCGATGCGATCCTGAACCTCTGCTCAAGATTTTATTCGGATTCTTAACTCAGAGGGGCTCTGGTGGTTAACGCTCTCGCTTCACACGGTGAGGGCCTGGGTTCGATTCCCAGCCAGAGTAGAAACATTGGACGTGTTTCTTTCTACCTGTTGTCTATGTTCCCCATCAGTAAAATGGGTACCTGGGTGTTAGTCGACTGGTGTGGGTCGCATCCTGCGACACTGACCTAAGGAGGCCTGGTCACAGACCGGGCCGCGGGGGCGTTGACCCCCGGAACTCTCTCCAGATAAACTCCAGAAACTCCAGAGGACCAGTAACCAGGATATCCTCCGCAAAAACTCAAACAGTTGGGCATTTTTTTTACTGGGATCCTTTGTACCTGTTCTCCAGGATGCGGCCCACAACAGTCGACTAATACCCAGGTACATATTTACTACTAAGTCGTTAGTGATTCTGTGTCCATGGGTCCCTAACTTTGTAAACAACTCTGTGCACTAATAGAGAATTCGGCTCACAATTACAAGTATCCAAGGTCGAACCCTAGGAGTTGTGGCACGTATGGGAAAATCTGAAAACCTGGTACCCTTGTTACCTACCAGTAAATAGATACCTAAAAATTAATCGACTGTTTTGGGTGGCATCCTGGGGAAAGTCCTAAAAAGGACCCAATGTAAAGAAATCACAATGCTTTGCTTTTTTGGGTCATCCTGGGTCATTAACCTTCTGGGGCTACTAATTCCGGGTCATCCTGGGTCACTAACCCTCTGGGGTTACTAATTCTGGGTTATCCTGGATCATTAACACACTGGGGCTACTAATCCTTGGTTATCCCCGCCACGTATGTGCATAAGTGGCAGGGATTCACGTTCAGGGATAGAGAATTTTTTTATATATATATTGTACATAAGCAAAGAAATTATTTGAGCGATATTTCGATCAGAATTGGTATATTCCGATACGAAGTCTGATACCAAGTGGTAATTGTCATTGCCGATGACGCAGTTGTTATGGGAGATTCTGAAGAGAAGCTCTGCCGGTAATAAAGTTTATTATATATATATATATATATTATATATATATATATATATATATATATATATATATATATATATATATACACACACAAGAAAGAGAGAGAGAGAGAGAGAGAGAGAGAGAGAGAGAGAGAGAGAGAGAGAGAGAGAGAGAGAGAGAGAGAGAGAGAGAGAGAGAGAGGAGAGAGAGAGATCGCAGTCAGCAGGAGTCGATATTGCTAGTGAGACGGACAAGATTCCCAGTCAGTGCTATTATTTCAGTAGCAGTATCGAGTCCTGCTGACTGCGATCTTTCTCTGTTATACCAGCTTGTTTGTGCGTAGTGCACTGTATATTATATATATATATAATAGTATAGATTATATATATATGTGTGTGTGTGTGTGTGTGTGTGTGTGTGTGTGTGTGTGTGTGTGTGTTAGTTCATTTGTCCGGCACAGTCGATTAGACACTAGGCCATTTGGTTTAAGTACGTTGTGTGTGCGTTGCGTAATGTGTGTGTGTGTAATGTGTGGTAATGTGTGTATTGTGTGAATGAATGTGTGTGTGTGATGTGTGTGTGTGTGTGTAGTGTGTGTTGTGTATGTGTGTTGTGTGTGTGTGATTGTGTGTGGTGTGTGTGTGTGTTTGCGAATAGATTAAAATTGCCATTTTGTTTAAATACCTTCTTGCGATAAGGTGAAAAAAAATATAGTGTAGCAAGTAATTTCGCAAAATCATTCTGAACGAAAAATTATTTCGACGTGTTGTTTATTTTCGAAATTATTGAACTTTCTAAAATATATTTGTTGGAATTGCTAAATAAATGCCACTTGTATAATAAGGTTAGGTAGGTGTGTAAAATAGAAGTATAAGTGCATGGAGAAGTCCAAGTGTTAACGCGACGGTCTGAGTTTTGAGACTGCTATGCGGGTTCTATCCGCCCGTGGTATGGTTTGGAATAATAAAAAGTTTAGGTAATGGAGCACCGGGTGTCAGACTGGAAAAAGAAGTGTGGAGGAAATGAATGTATTTAGACTTTTGGAAGTGGGCGTATCGACAAATGGGTCTCTGAAGGACCAGGAGAGCTATGAAATATGTGGATACATATACACCTAATAAGAGCTTCACTAATAAGAGCTCACCAGGAGCTTGCTGGTAAGCGTAACGTAGCAGCAGTAAAATGTTCATTAGTTGCGCTTGTGTCCATTTATCTAACCAACATATCCTCTTAATACCAAAGAGATTTTTACTGTTGCTAAGACACTCAAGGTATAACTGTTTAATGAGTCATAAATAGTGATCGTCTGTTAGATCTTTCAACTCTTAATCGGTGGGTTATCTTTATCTGTTCATGTATCCGAGCTTTTTATCGCCTTTATATATTTCATTTATTGGAGTTGTGGTATGTCATTAATAATTATATTATCCCAGAGACAATCTAACCTTATTAAAATGAACCTAGCCTAACATAACCTAAATTGA